GGGGGTGGGCTTTGAGGTTTCAGAACCTCATGCCAGTCTCCTATAGATTAGGATATAGTTCTCAGATACTGCTCCTGTGCCTGCCTGCATGCTGCCATGCTCCCTGCCATGATAACGGACTGAACCTCTGAAACTGGGAGCAAGCCCCAATAAAAGGTTTGCTCTGAATTGCCTTGATCATGGTGTCTCTTTGTGTCACATTGTCACAGCAATGGAAGAGTGACCAAGACAAGGACATGGTTCTCAGTTGGTAGAGTACTTTTGTCACGTGCATGAAGCCCTGAGTTGGACCCTCAGCACTACACAAATTGGTTGTGAACAGCACATAACAGTAGTCCTAGCACTCAAAGGGTGAAGCTAGGAGGATAAGAAGTTCAAAGCTGGTCAGAAGGATGGCTCAGAAGGCAAAGACCTGGCAACCTGAATACAATCCCTAGAAGCCATGTTTATGTGGAAGGAGAGGGTCAACTCTACAAAGTTATTTATTCTCTGACCCTGACAGCCATGCGTGGGCTGAGGCATACTCACCCCTATACACACACAATGCACAGCATGAGTAAGTGTGTATGCACATGTATGCCCATGTGCGCGTGTATGCATGTGCACACACACAGAGAAAGAGCACACTGACAACAACGGTAATAATAACCTTTTGAAAGGAATTCCAGGTCAGCCTAGGCTATACAGAGTTTAAGGCCTGGGATACATGAGATCCTGACTCAAACAGCCAAGAAGGAAAACCTTTTTTGTTGGATCTTTATTTAGCCCTTTGATCTCTGAAGTCCTCAATGTCCCCGTTTATGCACACTCTCTACGCAGTTCCCTGTCATACTCCTAACATATCCAAGCTCCCTTCTCCCAACTCTGCTGCCCTCTCCTAGGGAGCATTGGTTTTGTTCTTTCTGTACCAGGACATCTCTGGCCCTGGCTCTCTCCACCCGCCACTCTGTGGCTTTATCCTTACACAGAGAACATCAAGAATGAGGATTAAAGATACAAAGACAGAATCTAGAGTGCTTGCCAGCTCTGCCACTGACCATTCCATGACCTGAAGTGAGCAAAACCTTTAATCCTCAAGTTATTTCCTTCCCTATAAAACCAGGGTAGTAACAGCAGTTCTACCTCCCTGACCAGTATGCAGAGAGGAACGTGTGTGTGTGTGTGTGTGTGTGTGTGTGTGTGTGTGTGTGTTTAAGTCCGATGGGAGTTGTAAAGTTACAAGAGCCTGGCTACTCTGTTTCTGCTCTGCCCTCGTACATGACCTCCCTGCATCAACTGAGGCAGGAATGGTGATGTGTGAGCTTCAGCTAATCAGAGCTAATGCTACCAGTATGACACTATCAGTGGTCTAGTTTCTACTGTGATTTACTAATTTAATAATCACATTCCATTCGAACCAAGTACATCCTTTCTTTCTATTTTGTTGTGTTTCTGAGAGCATGTACTTCTGGAAGACAGCTGCAGCCAACAATTCCTGAGCATGTACCAAGGCAGAACATCCTGAAGAGTTTTATAAGGGAAGTCGGGGAAACTGAGGCAGAGTAACCCTCCTCTGATCTAATAATGCCAGGCATCTTACTGGAGAGCCTGCACCTTTCTGCACTGTCTTGCAACTCCATCAGCGATGACAAAAAGAGAGCATGCAGATGCGATGGTCTCTAGAATATTGGACGGAAGAGGATATATGCAAGAACCTTTGGGATCTCTAAAACCAAGACAAGGTCATTCAAATTGCAGTCTTCAAGTGCCGCTGGCCATCATCAGTTACTTCTCTATCCTGAAGCCAAGGAGCTGCATTGGCACAGCCTTCTGAAAACCAACGAGCAGAGTGTCCCATCAACCCTGGCAAGGTCACGGTGGTAGCGACTCATCCCACAGAGATCATCATACATGTGGATAGCAAAGACTCGCAACAAGGAAGCTTCTAAAATTAGAGAGAGAGAAGTGGTGCATACAGCCAAGAAAAGGAGAGGGTGGAGAGACTGAACTTTTCACAGTCCTGTAAAAGGGTCTGTTGTTGAATTGTGTACAACCGCCTATTGGTAGGGCGTATTAGCTCGCTAGCCCAAGTTTACAAACCCGGATAAGTCACTTAGTTTCCCAAAGTCTCAATTTTCTTAGTTGCAAACGGTGACAAAGGCTCTCACAGCATCATTGAGAGTTAATATACTGACAGGTCAGAAAGATGGCTCTGCAGGTAAATGCGGCACTATTCAAACCCCATGACCTGAGTTCAGTGCCCATAATCCACAGCGGAAGGAGAACCCAGCCCTGAATGTTGTCCTCTGACCTTTGCATGCACACACATGCACAAACCATAATAAAGGACAAAAGAAATAATCTCGGTAGGAGTCAATAAATTAACACCTACCAAGGGGGTGGTGCAGAGACTGGCACATGGCAATGCGGTAAATGTCAATCATTCCTAAACCAATCTAGGAAATGAAGCACACATACTACATAAACTGGGAAAATAACTCAGTGAAATACTAATATCTCTGAAAGTGGGACAATAATTTTCTATTAAACTCCCTGTATTTTTACTTTTGTCTTTGAAAATATTTATGTATTTCCATTTATTTCAAGTAGCCTTAATAATACTTCTCTTGATCTAATAAGTTTTTTCTAGTGTAATCCAGGCTATGCACACTGTGTTTATGGAAATGGAATATTTTATTGATTTAATCTGAGGAGGAATATATTTCACCTCCATTTTCAGCATCAAACAGCCTGCTCATATTTCATCCTATAAAAATATTTTCTGCACTCTTATACATTTTCAGATTAAGAACCTATGGGAGGGAATGGATTAATACCTGTAGAAAGTAAAGTTATAGGAGAGAAACACGACCACTCTGTGATGGCTCTAAGATAAAAAGTAAAACCTTACCTTAATCACGTAAGGTCGGAGGTTACCACAATAAACATTTCAACTCCGCAGACCACTCCCTAGTGGGGTCAGAAGATAGCCGTCACTCAGTAGTGCAGTGGTCCATCCAGTAGGGCGACAATCATTCTGAAAGGGAAGAGATCTCACTGAGGAAGTGATGGCACAATCCTGTCTCTAGGTTGAGACTACAGGCAAGGTAGCCAACGACTGGAGTCAGCTATGCATTTCCAAAATCAAACCACTCTTACGTTGATGTACTCTTTCCAAGAAAAGGGCTCTGTCCCTCACCGCCTTTCAGCCTTAGTTGTTACCGTCTTCTGTGTGGTTGCTAAGACATACATAGGTCAGCTCATGCATCCCACCCATCTTTCCGTGGTTTCCTGTCATTTTATACTCAGACCACTCCATCATCAACACTGAGTGGCGGTTCCCTGGGATAAAAACCTTGGGACTGTCACTCAGTCACGCTCTCACGGCTCCCAACTCCAACATCCCTCTGGCACCATCTTTCTTGAGCCTCTGCTTTAATAACAGCGATTTGGTATCACTGTCTGCTGCTACATCCATCGAAATATTGCATGTGCATACGACTTCTTAACCCGTGGCCTGGACTCTTCCTGTAGATTGCCACCTGTCCACTTTCTTCCTATTACCTGCACAACCTTGAACAGATCGCCCTTGTCCCCGAGCTCTTGGTTTCCTTGACTACACAATCAAGCACCGATGCCGGCTTCCACACCCTCATTGCTCTAGGAAATCAGAGGTCCCTGGGCAGGAACCATGCTCCTGCCATTCTGCAGAATGTAACCAGGTTATGTTTGCTCTGCCAAGTATCTCAACTTCGCTATGAATAAAATGAGAGCATGCATCCCAGAGGCTGCTGTAAAACAAGAACAGCGCGATCTTTTGTCTCGCTGATCCACCACAGGTCCTCGACAGCATCAGCCTTTCCCATCCAGCCTTATAGACTGCACCAGCCCTAAGGCTCTCTAGCTTTAAAACTTCTAAACCCCGAGTCCTCTTTTATCCACAGCCCCAGTCTTAAAGATTTGTCTTCTACCAAATATAAACTCCTCTGGGGGCTTTCAGTTCGCCCATGACCTACCATCCACTATGTGCTACCAGTTTCCAATTCCTTCCCTTACAGTGAGACTGACCGACTACCAAAAATATGCACCCTTCCACCCTACCTGTGTAACCATCAGGTCCCCTTGTGAGGGCACCTTGCTACAGCTTCCAGCCCCAGCAATGCCCACCATCCACATACTGCAAGCCTCACACACCACCTAACATTACTGTCCAATGTAGCATTGTGTATCGAGTTTAGATGTCCGGCTGTGTTTATTAAGGTTTTTACTTCAGTGTAGACCATATTAGTTTTTATAAGTCAATTCTCTTCTGCGTCAGCTCTGTCAATGCTCTTCAAAGTCAACAGGCCTTTACTAAATTTCCTTTACTAAAAGGGATTTCAAAGTTTTCACCATAAAGACATTGTAAATGTTTGAGGTGATATATCTGCCTGAACTTAATAATTCACAATGTATATGTGTTTTAAACTATGTTGTTAGCCAATTGCGTACAATTCTTGTGTGCCAGGTTCAATCACTAGTGGGTACCAGGCCAAGGTACATAAGAATATGGCCCAGAACATTTATAGAAGACATCTAGAGGCAATGTCAAAGGACACCACTTATAGACTATTCTAAGGCTCATCTCATGGAGCTAGGAGATGAGTTTTAAGTATGTCCGACACATATTAGATCTCATGCCAAAGTGAGCATGCTCAAATTTCAAATGGTGTCTCATAACCAAGCTCTCAGCGTCACTGAATAACTTGCCATGAAAAAAGATGATGGGTGACTGCAATTTTATCCCAAAGATGATAGAAAAGGAACTAAAGGAAATACCCTAGAGACGAGAGCCTTATTTGGACAGCCGGTTTCAGAGCGCGCAGCAGCTAAGTTCACTTCGTGGTGGGCCAGGAAACAGAGAGAGCTAGCCGGATGTGATTCCGTGTGTGATGATATACCCCCAGGGATGCGCTACTTCCTCCGGCCAGCTCCCAAAATCTCACCACCAGCTGGAGACACTTCAGTTCCAAGCTGTCCAACTCTGCTCTGCCAACACCACCCTGCTTGCCTGGTTTTGTCTCCCTAAGAAATCTCACAGAGACATTCAACACTTTCTGCCATCAGCTCAGGAAAGCTGGCGTCTAGTGGACTTCTACATCAGTCTCCTGCTTCAGGAACACGATGGACGGTCACTCACACAGACCACAGATAGGGCACCGCGACACGCCGACAGCACAGTGCTGGGTAATCTATACAGGTAAGGCTCAATTATCTTTAAAGTAACATGTTCTCGTCGTCCAAAATAGTGTTTGTTGTAAACTTGGAGGTGGCAGCGCACGCCTTTAATCCCAGCCCTTGGAGGCAGAGGCAGGTGGGTCTGTGAGTTCCAGGAAACCCTATCTTGAAAAACAAAAACAAAAAATAGTGTTTATTCTCAGCAATAAGTTTAGAAAATTCAAGAGATAAAGCTTTTTAAGTGCCATTAGCCTCTAACTGAATCTTCTCCCACTTTGGTATGTATGCAAGGCCAATTTATAGACCTAACACACAAACAGGAATATTCTGGCATTATTTGTGACTGGATTTTCCCATTTATTTGAAAAAAAAAAGCACTGTCATTTAATAGTTTCCTACATTTTTATTTTAATGGCTGTATGGGATTTTAAAAACCCCTTGGGCTCACTGAGATAGTTTCTAGGCTTTGACTATAAACCAGTGCTGTAACACCATCTGTGATTTTTCCGGGAAAAATCACAGGCTAATCACGTAGAACATAAGGAGTGACGCCGTGAAAAGCTGCACATAAGAACGTCAAATGCCACGGCGCACAGCAATGCCACTGCTCCACATCCCTCTACTGCTTGGGTAGTAGTTTATTTTTAATATTATAGTCTAGAGACACTTCAAACTCAGTGTGCACATGAAGCTGAACACGTTACCATCTTAGACTTTTTGCTCATGCCCTTGGTTTATTTTTTCTACCTGAGTGTTCTCCTTGTGGATTTACACTATCTCATTATATCAATGCTTGCTACCCTGACTATACATTGACTGGGAAAGCAAAGTCTAGGGAAGCTCCTGAGTCTCAGAAAGGACCCTGGGGTGGGGGTCTTGTGTCTTGCATGTTGAAAGACACTGACTTGCCTTCCCCTTGCTGATCATTTCCTCGCTTATGTTTTTCCAGAAGAGGAACATCGAAGTAAGTTCATGAGTCAACGCAACCCTCATAGAGACAAATGAACAAACAAGATCGCCCCCACTTACTAAGCAACAGGTGCCTACTCTTCCAACCCTTTAGGAGGCAATTAGGTGGCACTAGCATTCCTCTTTTATGGACAAACACACAGCACAGTGAGAGATACTTGGTTCTACATATAAACCATGTAGGGATGGGACGATGGCTAAGTGCTTGCTACACACGCACAAGGACCTGAGTTCAGATCCCCGGCACCTATGGAAAAGCAAGGCGGGACAGCCACATGTTTGGAATCCTAGTGCTTTAGGGGTGAGGTGAAGGCACATGGATCCCTGGTATCTCTGACTAGACTGTCTGGCTACAATGGTAAAGCTCTGGGTTCAATAACATAGTATGCTTTAAAAAGGAGTTTGGAACAATAAAAGACAAGGGACATTGACCTCTAGACTCTATTATAGGTGCTATTACAGGCATGCTTGCACACACACACAACAAGCCATACTCTGCTTCTTAAGACTGTGGTTTTGGTTTCTTAGCTGTAATCCCAGAAGCCAAGTCGATTCTTTTCGCCAACTTCAAACATCTAGCTCTGTCCATTCTCTTGAGCTTCTCTAGTAAACTCAGTCCTGAGCAAACTCACTTCTCTCCCTTTATTTTTCTCGATACTGCAGGGTCATTTTGATAACACATAAAACGTTAAGTGTTTTTAGCTGGGAACCAAGGCTACTCTATCAGCCTCTACAAACTCAGCCTCTACAAACTCAACGGCAAATGCTTTCCTTTCTTCCAAAGTCCTTCAATGGTTTATGGGTTAGCGGCAGCCACAGTAACAGTACACACCTAAACCCTTCTTTTGTCAAAGGTGAAGCACACTGTGCTCTATAAATATTTTATGCACAGTCCGTCCCATGCTGCAACTCTAGATGCCGAGGGCGTCAGGGAACTCTCGGGCAAACACTGTTTCTATCCATGCCGGGTGTGGGCTTCATCATCCTGTAGGTGTCCTCCCCACTTAGACCTAATTATCTGCCCCAAATGCCTACTCGTTCTTTACTGTATTAGCTGTGTTGTGGGCAAGGAAGAAGGGTCTGAAGCAGGGACAAAAAGAGACCGCACTCACAGCTCTCTACTGAGGCCTGGGGGCAAAAGTTCATGGCTGTGTGACCCTGGAAGATAGGTTTTTTTATCAGAGAATATTAGTGGAACCAAATGACTCATTGTCAGAAGGGGAAAACACATACTTTGATTAATTTAGCGATGATTCAAAAACAGTGCTATAAATTTGAAGGTTAGTGTACAATAGAAAGTTGCAAATCGGCTTTGGGAAGCCTAACGTCTTCAATTCCTCTGCCACCTGATGGCAGCTAGAGGCCCACACATCTCAGGAGACATAAGCAGGGACAGCTGGCATCCCCACATCCCCACAGTGTGGATGCAGCCACAGATGCAATGGAAGAGCCGTGACTAGGTGACCTGAGGAAGCGCAGCTTTATAGACCTCCCGGCAGCACCCAGCCCTGAGGTAGCTCAGCACTGACTTGAGGGCAGGAAGCTTTCTTAGTGTTTCAATTCTAGTTGTATATAGATAGCTCTGGCTTCCCAGATTCAGGGAGGCTACCACAGCCAGCAGAGCCACATCTAGCCTCTGGCTGCACCCACAGGAGAGTGGGAGCCCCAGGAGAAAGCCCAGATGCTGAACTTATACTTGTGTGGCCTGAAATGTGGTCCAAAAGTGGCAGGGACCAGCATTAACACAGGACCCAAAGGCCTGACTGACACTGTGACATGCTATCAGGTCTGAATGCGAAACACAACTTGTCTTAGGGTTTCTACTGCTGTGATGAGACACCATGACCACAGCAACCCTTATGAAGGAAAACATCTCACGGGCTGGTTAACATTTTGAAGACTTAATCCAATATCCTCATGGTGGGAAGCACGGCAGCACACAGGCAGACGTGGTGCTGGAGAAGGAGCTGAGAGTTCTACATTTGGAACTCGTAAACACGTTTCAAAGAACCTTAAATTACCAATGGAAAGACAAAGATAAACTTCTTTTCAAAAGCAGGATTCAATTATCTGCAGTCTCCAAGAAACACTCTTCACTAGCAAGCTAGATGCAGAGGGAAAAGATGGAAGCCAATCGGCCAAGGAAGCCGAAACGTGAAAAAAAAGTTGGGAGGATTAGGATCTCTGACAAAGTAGAACACACACCAAAATTAGAGGAGATTTTAAAAGATTTTCCGACGTATTAGTGGAAAATTCATGGCAAAGATAAAATTGTAAACATACATGCGCTGAAGACTGGGGCTTCCAATTCCATACTAATAGTCATAAAAATCAATTCGGCCTGTCTCAGCCGGGTGGTGGTGATGCACACCTTTAATCTCAGCACTCAGGAGGCAAAAGCAGGTGGATCTGTGAGTTCGAGGCCAGCCTGGTCTACAAAGTGAGTTCCAGGACAGCCAGGGCTACACAGAGTAACCTAGGGGGTGGAGTGGGGGTGTGGGAATAGTACATCCTTAGATAAGTCATTGAAACTAAAATCAGCAAAGAAACTTCAGAGTTAAGATCAAAGGGACTTAATAAGGTACCTACAGAATAGCTCAAGTATTAGGCAACAAAAAACATTCTTCTCTGCAGCCCAATGGACCATCTCTAAAACAGACTCCATTCTAGACCACAAGACAGTCTTAACAAATACAAAAGAATTTAAATAATTCCTGTATATTACCAGATCACAGTAAACTAAAAGGCAGACGTGAATAGCAAGAGAAACTTCAAAAGCTAGGCAAATGCAGATACTAGGAGGCACAAGGCTACTGTATGACCATTAAAAATGTTTAAAAGTTGTGCTTAAAACCAATACTTCTCAAATATTAGCAGGGTTTGTTAAATTGGTTGCTCCCATCTCAGAACTTCTGACTCAAGAGGTTTGGGGTGGAGCCTGTGAACTGTGTTCCTCCAGCATCCCCAGAGGATGCCGCTTGCGGTCCAGAGAGCACATTTTAGAGAAGCAGAAGACGCGAACTCTCTGGGAGATGATGCACGGTTAGTGTTGGCTATCTAGAGATCCCTTCAAACTCTGCACACCAGAGCACTTGCTACCTGGCAGGCAAAGGATACTAATGGCTTACAAGATAAGGTCCCACAGGCTGTTATAAAATCAATTTCAGGAGAAGCACCAAGTTTATCTCGAAGCTTCCTGTATCTGAGTCGAGCCAGCATGTGCAGACTGTGAGTCACATTATCTCCCCCAGGGACCCTAAGCAGAAAGCCAACACAGACATGGGGGCTGGACCTGAGAATGACAGACAGCTCCATGAAGAGGAAGTGAAACAACACACTGGACACAGCGAACCAAGGGCAGCAGAGTGGAGGTAACTCGGTGGGCTCTTATGAACTCCCTGGCATCCCTCTGCACCTCCTAAGACTACCTTTGTGGCCCTGGTAAGGCTGTCTATGGCAGTCCCCAAAAGAGGTTGCTTCCACTGGTGATGGCATGGAGAATCCAGAGAAGTCTATCACCAGGGCAGACCTCGACAACAAAACTGATGCAATGATTAAAAGGATGCTTCAAGCCTTCTTTACCCTATCAGAAGTATTCAGCGACACCTGAGAACATTAGCTTGCCAAAAACCTCCCTGATGATGTGCACAGCTGATGCTGTGGACCCTGATGATGGTCCAGAGATCACAGCAGAGAGCCACGGTTCATGTCACTGTCCCCTGCCTGTTACCTAAGCACCAGTTCTGACAGTGACCACATTAATACACACAGAGAAATCCCTCACTAGGAATATGGCTTTTGTCACCACTATGTGGCAGACCTCAGGCATGCACTAGACAGACTTCATGCCCTTCCTTTTGACCTGTAAATGGACACTTATCTCCAGACTGTTATAAATCCCCCACTACTATGCAAATTTAAAGATGTTACTTAGTATCAGAAACTGCTTCTTCTCTTAGAATATTTTTCCTGGTTTAATTGAAATACATTATGACATTTAAAACAAGATCCAGAACTCCTCCCTTTAAAAAACAATATGTGGGATAAAGATGC